TACTTCATTCAGATTAACCAAGAGCTTCTTTGAGTAGAGTCCAGGTCTGATGAACCTTTAGGCAAATCACAGTTCTGGCTGGAATCAGCCTTTGACATGACCCCTCACCTTCCTGGGATAGCCAGAGTTACCTCAGAGTTGTGGTGCCCGGGGTAACACATTAATTACTTGGTGGCTCTCTCCCTGGCCGGCATCCCAGACCCCTCCAGTCTCTGGGTGCACAGACAACAAGGAATTGCTGACGGATGGAAAAGTGGCTTTGTGGGAGCCAGCCTGCTGGAAACCCAGCCCCACTCAGACCTCTCCACCGGGGCTGAGCCCAACAGACTGAGGAGCCAGGTGTCTCCTCTTATCACAAGAGTCATCACCTACTGAGAGTGAGAACATCCTAATTTGTTTTCTTTAAAACATAAATAAATAAAGGGCCTGCCAAGCAGCAAGGAGGAAGGCTGGGAAAGAGGCCTGCTGCCCTCAGGGCCACAGCTGCAGGTGGCTGAGAGTCATTGAACTTGTGACAAGGGTCTGCTGAGCCACCGAAGCCTGGAGCCACAGCTCTGGACCTCTGACCCACTCTGGGCCATCCTCAGTAACTCTGTAAGAGGCCCTGGAGGAACTATGGGATCCAACCCAGCACGTCCAGTCAGACCACACCTTCTGACAAGCAACACTTCATTGTGTAAACGCGCCCATATACTCACATGCATGCGTACATTTGAATAGATTTAGCTTGCAGTTCAGGCTTTACTGAGCAGGGTGTATTCTTACTTGATAACTCTGGAAACCCCATGGAGCCAGCACCCCTGGACCTGGGTGACCAGTCCTAGAAAGGGATCCTTGACATCAACTCCTTAGTCTTTGTCCCCAGCATCTGATAAGGACCAGGACCTTGAGTGACAGTTCTGACCTGCCCAGGGCAGATAAGGTAAGGACAGGGCAGATAGGGGTTTGTTTTTTATAAAATTGAAGATGTTTGGAAGATGGGTCTTTATTTGTTTCTCTCTCTCTCTTTCTCCTCCCTCCCTCTCTGTGTGTGTGTGTGTGTGTGTGTGCGCGCGCGTGTGCATGAAACTGCCCTTAAGATATTCAAGACAGTTGCGCAGCAGAGGTGGTGGATATCTTCATGAGTTCAAGCCGGCCCGGTCTACAGAGTAAGTTCCGACAGCTAAAAGCTACACAGAGAAACCCTGTCTTACAAAAACCAAAACCTTCTAGGCGTTGGTGGTGCACACCTTTAACCCCAGCACTTGGGAGGCAGAGGTGGGCGGATCTCTGTGAGTTCAAGTGCCAGGACAGGCTCCAAAACAATACAGAGAAACCCTGTCTGGAAAAACCAAAACAAACCAAAACAAAACAAAAAACACACACAAGACAGTGATAGCCATGGGTATATTAGTGCACACCTGTGTCTCCACACTACAGAAACAGAGGCAGGAGGATCAGGAATCCAAGACCATCCTGGTCTACATAGAGAGTTTGAGGATAGCCTGGGCTACAGGAGACACTGTCATTCATAGAAAGATAGATGATAGATAGATAGATAGATAGATAGATAGATAGATAGATAGATAGATAGATAGGTAGGTAGGTAGGTAGGTAGATGGTATATGTCTGTTAATATGTTTTTGGAGGGCTAAGGACATAGATCAGTGTAGGGCATTGGCCTGGCACACGTGAGCACCTTGGTTCTACCGGTTACAAAAACTGAAAAATATTTCTGACAAAGTGGAAATGCACTCCCCTTGGGTAGGCATGCATTGTCCTGGCTACTTAGGAAGCTGAGGCGGGGAAGTAACACATCTGTCCATCTGTCCCATACCTCAATTACACCAGCAGCAGGGCTGCAGGCTCTCAGCCTGCCTCTCCGTATACCAAGCCCCCCCCCCTTCCTCCTAGGCCCAGCCTACATAAATGCCAATTACTCCTTTCTCTGCTCCCAGCCAGTACCTTCCACAGTTCCAGCCCCTGTCTCCACCGAGCAGACCAAGGGGCCTGCTCCCCCTCTGATGCCTCTTCCTGGGAAAGCCTCCCTTCACCTCCTTGAACCTTTTCCCTTAGCTGTAGACTGAAGCTGAAGTCCCCACCCCCACCCATGACCAGGAGGAGGCCATTGAGAGTGCCCACGTGTGAATGCTGGTCACGTGGCCGTCTTACAGTTTGTGTGTTTTTCTGCGCTAATGTTGTAATTCGATAAAGTGGTTTCTCAACAATTAGCTTCAATTAACAAAGAAGCCCCCAACAAAGAAAAACAGCACAGTTCATCTCACAAGAACTTTCCTTGCCTCTGGCTTTTAAGTGGGAATAGTACTTTATGATTGGTGGCCTGTGCACAGCTGGCCGGAAGAAATCAGGCAGCTGGGCTCAGAGCTGGGTCAGTGCGATGGGGTTTCATTTTTTAAAATTAACCTTCAAACTCATCGCATTCCAGGGCTCTGGAAACTTACGCTGATCTTGTATTTTTAATGAACTTATAATAAGAGAAAAAAAGCCAACAAATTGTAGAAGATAAGATTTCCAAGTCTGTATTTCAGGTCATTCCTTATAACAGAGGCAGAGAAACTTTAAAGAGAGGATGTTAAGACGGGACCTCAGGGGGCTGGAGAGATGGCTCAGAGGTTAAGAGCACTGACTGCTTTTCCAAAGGTCCTGAGTTCAATTCCCAGCAAACATATGGTGGCTCACAACCATCTGTAATGAGACCTGGTGCCTTCTTCTGGCCTGCAGGCATGCATGCAGGCAGAACGCTGTATACATAATAAACAAACAAACAAACAAAAAAAAGACAGGACCTCAGTGCATGGAGGTGCTCGCCTATAATCCTGGCACTCAGGAGCCAGAGAAGATGGGTCTCTGTGAGTTCAAGCAGCAGCCTGGTCTACATAGCAAGCTCTGGGCCAGCCAAGGCTACATAGCAAGACACTTCCCTGCCCCCTCCAGGAAAATGCAGCCTTAATAATAATAATAAAGATAGTGGTGTGCATCAGGAGGGAAGAGAATAAAAAAGTAGGCTGGCAGCCGGGCGTTGGTGATGCACACCTTTAATCCCAGCATTTGGGAGGCAGAGGCAGGCGGATCTCTGGGAGTCAGAGACCAGCTTGGTCTACAGAGTGAGTTCCAGGACAGCCTCCAAAGCAATACAGAGAAACCCTGTCTCGAAAAACCAAAAAAATAAAAAGAAAAAAGAAAAAAAGTAGGCTGGTGATCTCTGTGCAGCAGACAGAGAACGAGGCATGGGCCCCGTCGTCTGTGAGACCCACACCCTGAGCAGAGAAGGCAGTGCATGGGCTGAGGGCACAGAAGGCACAGGCGAAGATCCAGGAGAACCAGCTGTGAACCCGCGGAGGCCGCAGGAGAGACGCGGGATGCTGGCCGGAGCACAGGCACGCTCGCCAGCCCTGCAAGCTACAGAGGGACTCTTAAGCTATGTATGGCAGGGCATGCCTATTGTCCCAGCATTCAGGAAGGAGAGGTAGCAGGGTCCTGAGTTCCGGGCCAGGCTGGGCTACACAGCGAGACCGTGCTTCACACAAAAGCAGGGGCTGGGGGGAGCGCTTGGCTGACAAAGGGCTTGCTTGGGTTTGATAGCTAGAACCCGTATTAGAAAGCCAGGCAGAGGTGCCCATTAGTAATCCAGGGCTGAGAGGCAGTCGGCTGCATGGGGCTTGCTTCTTAGCCTAACTGGTGCGTTGCAGGCCAATGAGAGACCCAACATTAAGGTGGATAATAACTGAGGAGCCCAACCCTGGGCATGCTCTGACCTCCACACGCATTGGAATACAGAGGCACATACACACACACACACACACACACACACACACACACACACACACGCACGCACACACACGCACAAAAACAAATCAGATGGCTTGATGGTGAAGACCTAGCACCCACATGGCAGCTTACAATCGTCCATGCCCCTAGTTCTAGAGGGATCTGAAGCCCTCTCCTGACCTCCATGGAGTATATGCACACATGTGGAGTATAGACACACATGCAAGCAAAACACACACACACAGAGAGACACACACACAGACACACACTCACACAGAGACACACACACAGACAGAGAGACACACACACAGACACAGAGAGAGAGACACACACACACAGACACACACACACACACAGAGACACACACACAGACACAGAGAGAGAGAGACACACAGAGACACAGACACACACATAGAGACACACACAGAGACACACTCACAAATTCAGAAAAAAATTAAATCACACAAACTGTCTCTCAGCTCTCTGTCTGTCTCAGTCTCTCTGTCTCTCTCTCTGTCTCTGTCTCTGTCTCTCTGTCTCTCTCTCTCTCTCTCACACACACACACACACACACACAGAGGCCTGTCTTATCCATAACTAAAACAGTGCATTCTGGTCACTTGCCCTGGATCTGTGGCATTCTGGGTAAGTAATGCTCATGGTTGTGGCCCAAGTATAATGTGCGGACAAGAGATCATCTTCTCTGATGTGTCAGCTGACGAATCAAATCATAAAAATAAAAGAGAACGAGGCAGGGGCTGGAGCCAAGCTCTGTGCACAGGCTGGGGTCGAGTCCCCGGGGCAGGAACAGGGCCAGAACTTCAGAGCCCACCCAGGGGACTTGACACCCTGACATCCCGTGTCTCCCTCAGTAATGGGCATTCTGAGCAACCTCAAATGACCTCATCCTCCTGCAGTGGGGCCACTGGAAGAGACAAGCCATGTGACTGCGATTAGCAGAGGGGCCCAGTGCAATCCTGACCCCAAATCCATGGACAAAGCTGGCCCTCAGGACGACCGGAGAAACTTGACCGTGTGGTGACTAAACCACTCCAGATGTGATGGAAGAGTAGGAAAAGAAAATCCGAAGATTTTCAAATAAAAATGTTTGGCATCATCGAAGACTGTAAGAAATTGTTGAAACCCCGATTGGCTTAAGTGAAGTGGAAACAGGTGGTCCTGGAGAGGAACCCGCTGGAAATCCCACAAGTCAGCAGTGCGACTCTTAAAACTGAGAACTCGGCGGATGGACCGTTACTTGGCGGGAACGACCGAGAGTGTGGCACAGCGCTGAGCAGACCCAACAATTCCAAGTCAGAAGCGAGAGTGAAGAAACACAGAGGACAGACAGCCAGAAGTGCTCACACAGGACACTGGCTCCTAAAGAGGGAAGATGTTTCTCAACAACTACAAGGAGGCGCAGTATGCTGCCACCTGGGTAAAAGGTGAGAATTGACCCTTGCCTGCAGGCTGTCCCTCTGACCGCTACATGTGCACTTGAGGGAGGGAAGCAATCCCTTAGCCTCCCTGGAAGCCCGCAATCTCAGCGAGGGAGGGCTCACGGGCCACAGAGTTCAGTGGTGCAAGCCACTCAGCTGCCAGCCAGAGGCGCGAATGCCCCTGCATCACGGGAGGGCTCTAGCTGATTTCCCTCCTCAGTTCACCCAGGGCCAGGGCTGAACTCCGGGTGTCAGCTTTTATCACAGAGAAAGTCCCGCCTGCGACTGCGAGCTCTGGCTAGGCAGGATGAGGACGTGGATGAGCGTGACTTCTTGGCCCGGACTGTGTGTCTTGGGGTGTGTTTGCCAGCCAGACCTCCTGCAAAGAGCCTTGTGCGCTCCTGACCACAGGTGCAGGACGGAGCTCACGTCAGCACAGCGCCCATGGTGTCAGCACGGCTTAGCAGCCGGTGACTCAGCCCTGAGATTACAGGCTTCCAGGGAGACTAAGCACCTGCAAGGGGAGGCAGCCCTGGGACCCAAGTATAGGTTAGGGATGGAGAAGTGGAGTTGGGGGGCCTAGAACCTGGTCTCTGTCCACAGATGACCACAGGCAAGCCTCCACGGGAGGGGCTGGGGGGCAAGAGACAGGCTCCGGCAAGGTGGAGCACCAGACGGCAGGCCCTAACAGGAGAGACGGGGAGAACCAGGACAGGCTGGGGCAGGGCTGGGCAGAGCTGCACCTCCACAGCTTAGGGACGTTCATCTTGTCATAGCTGGGGTCTGGCTGGCTCCATGCCCCCTCTAGCCTCAGTTTCCCACCCTAGGACAGGGGCAGCACCCTCCCTGGGCCAGTGATAGAGAAGATGCAGTTTAGGCACTGGCACTGGGAGCACTCCAGGCACTGGGAGCACTCCAGGCACTGGGAGCACTCCAGGCACTGGGAGCACTCCAGGCACTGGGAGCACTCCAGGCACTGGGAGCACTCCAGGCACTGGGAGCACTCCAGGTCTGCAGAACAGCACACCCAAAGGGTTTCTTACCGCCTGGTACCACAGACCAATTGAGTCCCCAAAGGCAGACTGAGCAGTGCAGCTTTGGATTTATAAGAGGCCAAAGCAGGGGCTGACTAAACTGTCTGCCCCCAACCCACTTTCCAGCTTGCACAGGGACATAGAAAACCCATGGGGCCGGAGGGATGGCTCAGCAGTTATACTTGTTTGTATAGCGGACCAGGGTTTGGTTCCCAGCACCGACATAGTGGCTCACAACTGTCTGTAACTCCAGTTCCAAGGGATCTGCTGCCCTCTGCTGGACTTCATAGGCACTGCACACACAGACCATACATGCAGGGGACACAGCCATACACACAAAATAAACAAATAAATAATAAACAAGCAAATAAATAAATAGACACTCCCTATGCTTACAAGGGAAGACAGAATTAGATATGAGGTTTAAGGATTTCCTTTGTTTGTTTGAGACAGGGTCTTAGGTGACCCAGGCAGGTCTCAAACTCACCACATAGCTGAGGATAACCTTGAACTTCTGATTCTCCTGCCTCTATGAGTGCTAGGATTAGGCCTGCAGCACCACACCTGAATTATGAGGTATTAGGGGCCTGAACAGTGTGGACTCCGTGCATGCCAGGCAAACACTCTGCCAAGAAAGTCACCTCCCTTGACAGGCAGTGGTAGCAGATGTCTTTAACTCCAGCACTCAGGAGGCAGAGGCAGGCGGATCTCTGTGAGTTCGAGGCCAGCTTGGTCTACAGAGTGAGTTCCAGGACAGCCTCCAAAGCTACACAGAGAAACCTTGTCTCGAAAAACAAAACAAAGTGTTTTTACACCGCCCAGCACTGAGCAGGTCCTTAGCTCAGTCCCTGAAGAATACTCTCAGGTCAAACCCCTCTCCATCTCCTGAGTTCCCGAGGCCTAGCCACTGGGCAGTGGGGACTGTCTGACTGGAGTATTCAGAAAGGAAGTCGTGTCTTGGGAACCCAGGAGACTGCAAACTTCCATCACCCAGGAAACCAGCACCCCCCATGAGGTCTGCTTTCTTGGATCTCTGCTAGAATTTCTCCGCCGCCCTCTGTCCCCCACTCCTGAGACAGAGCACTTGTCCCCTTTCCTTAGCCAGTGCCTCTCATGGTCCAGTTGACTCTCACAGGCTAGGCCTCGAATGAGCCAAAGCTGCCCAGCTCCAGGCAGAATCCAGACTCTGTGGCCCACATAGGACTGCACAGATTTGTCCAAGCCCAGAGGGCACACCGGTCCTGGAGGTCAGATTGTGTCCTGTGGCTTCGGAAGGGGAAGCTCCCACCACTTCACCCAGAAAATAACAGCAGAACACTGTGCTGGTCCCTTTCACATAGTCAAACCCAAGCTTGACCACACAACCAAACAGATCCCTCAATCGGGGCAAGACGGTACAGACTGACCTCTCCCTGCCCTCCGCACAGGGCACAGCCCCCTACTGGGTAAACAGCAACCCACAGAGAAAGGGCGCTGACTAGGCACTTCAGAGACATTCAACAGTGGCACACTGTATGACACCCCGCCCCATGTCACCCAAACAGGAAGAGATACCGGGCCCGACTCACAAACCAGCATCAGAAGCAGACTCCCTTGTCCCCTGAGTGTAGTGCCACGCCCCCACACCCAAGCGCCAAGCAAGCCAGGCAGTGTGACCAGCGAGGGGCTCCAGTAGCAGCCCTGGCAATGACAGGCCAGCGTAAATATCCCTCCTCATGGCACTGTCTTAGTCTCAGTTAGGGTCACTACTGATGTGGTAACCAAAAGCAACCTGGGAAGGAAAGGGTTATTTTACTTCTACTTCAGTCCATCCCGGAGGGAAGTCAGGACAGGAGCTCAAGCAGGGCAGGAACCTGGAGGCAGGAGCTGATGCAGAGGCCATGGAGGAGAGCTGCTCACTGACTTGTTTCCCATGGCTTGCTCAGCCTGTTTTCTTATGGAACCCGGGACCACCAACCCAGGGACGGCCCCACCCACCACGAGCTGGGCTCTTCCCCATCAATCATTAACTAAGAAAATGCACTCAGGAGGCAGAGGCAGGCGGATCTCTGTAAGTTCGAGACCAGCCCGGACTACCAAGCGAGTTCCAGGACAGCCTCCAAAGCCACAGAGAAACCCTGTCTCGAAAAACCAAAAAAAAAAAAAAAAAAAAGAAAATGCTTTACAGCCAAATCTCCCGAAGGATTTTTCTCGACCAAGGTCCTTCCTTTCCAGCAAGTCTAGCTTATGTCAGGTTGACATGAACCCAGCCAGAACATACAGCGAGTTTGAGGCTGGCCTGGGCTACAGGAGACCCTGACTCATAAACAAGTCTTGGTCATGATTTAGGACGGTGACTGGAGTCCATCCCAAATGACCTCCAGGTTGATAGGTCTAGGGGTTGGTGACAAGTCACCGGTCATGTCTTGGTAAGCACATGGCACAGGGCAGGAGTGACACCCTCATGGGGATAGGACACAAGGTCTTCCTGGAGGAGGTGAGACCAGGCAGTGTTCTAGGCGGAGAGCCGTTCTCCTTGGACTCTGATCCCGTGTGCTGCCCGTGCCTCAGTTCCCTGGACTTTAACCCTTGGAGATAACAGTGCAGAAGAGGTAGGTTGGAGGAATCAGAGTAAGATGTAGGTCCCAGCTCCTGGGACACCCTGGAGGGATTGCAGGGGGGAGGGGGAGCGAGGGGGAGGCGACTGGTTGTCCAAGGCTGGGAGCTTTAGGAAGATAAAATCAGGACGGCCTTGAGCCGCACAGACTCATAATCTCCAGCAGGTGGCGATGTTGTCTCTGGAATGAGACTGGTCCCAAATGGGCCAGTGTTTGCTGGCAGGGACGGTGAATAAAGCCACTCTGTGTTTGCCTCAAGGGGCAGGTCACTGGATGGACCCTTCCCGGGTCCTTGTCAGCACCTCAGAACACTGGTGTCGTTTGCCGGGGCCCTTGCTGCGGAGGTTTCTCATAGTTACCCACCGTGCCGACTCCTCCCTGCTCTCTGCCTGTGAGTATCAGGTTCCCCTGTCTCCCTCATTCTGGGTGCTGAGTGACCCTTCAAGCCCAGCCAACCCCAACATCTCCTCCTGACTGTACCCGAGTCCTGAGAGAAAGAGGACAGGTCACACTTGGGGTCGCAGAGAAGAGCGAGCCAGTGTTTAACTGGGTTCGGTGCTAGCTGTGACACCTTGGCCCGTCCCCGTGTTGACACGCCCGTCGGGAAGGGCCACCCCAGTCTGAGAAGCCACTCATTCTGGGCCCAGGCAGGGCCGGAGGCCCAGTCTGCCATGCTGAGTCTGACTGAGATCCCCACAGATGAGAGGAACTTGGGACCTGGCTAGGAAGACGAGATGGACAACAGTTAAGTGAGACCATCCATGACCCTGCTTCACGCCTATCTCAGGAGGCTCCTGCTACACACACGCATTCGCATGCCCACACACTCACACATATACACACTCATACACATGTGCATGAATGCACACTCATAAACATGTATATGCACACGTGTACGCAAACATACACATGCATACACACAAGCTCAAAGACACTCATATTCATGTATAGGTACACAGGTATGCAGACACACACACTGACGTACACAAAACCTACACACAGAGCTGCAGGCATACGAACACAGCCACTTACATACATACTCACGTATGAAAATACACAGACACGCCTATGCATGCACACACAGCATACATGAATGTGCAAACACTCCCCAGGTCCCCTCTGGTCTCGTCTTGACCTCTGCCATCAGGAGGTAGCACGGTAATACCAGTTCTAGCCAAGCCCAGCTGGGTCACAGGCACAGAACGACACCAGGTTCCCAGTCTGCCAGCTGACCCAGGCGGCAAAGTGACATAAAAACCCAGGTCAGCGCCGGGTGGCAATGGTGGCGCACGCCTTTAATCCCAGCACTCGGGAGGCAGAGGCAGGCAGATCTCTGTGAGTTTGAGGCCAGCCTAGTCTACAGAGCCAGTTCCAGGACAGCCTCCAAAACAATACACAGGAAACCCTGCCTCGAAAAAACAAACAAAAAAACCAAACCCAGGTCAGCATGCCACACTGAGCCCCGGCCCCCTCTTCCCCAACCCAGGGCAGCACCAGCTGAGGCGCCAGCACCTTCACAAGCCTCTGCAGACGGTGGGGGCCATTCATGACCTTGACCATCCGCTGTCCCTGCCAGGCACAGAGTCTGGCTCAGGGTCACAGCGCAGGGAAGCCCAGCTTTCACCTCTGGCCTCTGAGGTCCCTGTTCTCATGAAGCTTGAGTCCAGTGGGGAGAGACACTCAGGCAATTCGAGGACGTTCCAGGGCGCCCAGGAGAAGGGAAACGGAGACTATGCGAAGAGCTGAGAAGAGCACTGCAGGCAGTGTGTGTGTGTGTGTGTGTATGTGCGTGCATGCACATGTGTGCATGCGTATGTATATATGTGCATGTGTGTGAGTGTGCGCACATGTGTGCATGCGTGCATGCCTGAGTGTGTGCACTGTGGGTGTGCGCGTGTGCACGAGTGTGCGTGTGGGTGTGCGCGTGTGCACGAGTGTGCGTGTGTGTACGTGCACGTGTGTGCGTGTGTGTGCCCGTGTGCGTGAGTGTGCAAGCGTGTGTGCGTACGTGCACATGTGTGTGTGAGTGTGTATGCTCTCAGGCATGCTCTGGGGCAGGGACCAGGCTGCACACAATGCACTCACATGCAGTAACAAATTTTTTAGTGTGGGAAGGTTTATTAGGGGAAGGGAGTGGGAAAGGGAAGGGAGAGAGGAGAGTGAGAAGAGAAAGAGAATAATATTTTTTAAATAAAAGGAAACGGGATGAGAAATAAAGATCTCATTTGTTTCCTGTGGTGATGACCACATTTGCTACTTGTCATGAAAACAGAAGGCCAGGGGACACATTTTAGAGCCCACCCTGCCATTCCAAGACAGAATGCCCAGCAGAGGGAGGGACACTCTCCATTTGGAAGAGTGCCAGGCAATACCTGGATAAACGATGCTAAAAAGTTGAATCCTGCAATCCTAGCTCTTGGGAAGGGAAGGGAGGAGGACGAAAAATTTAAGGACAACTCAGCTGGTAAGAGCACTTACTCTCTTCCCTTCCAGAAGAGGGAGGCCTAATTCCCAGAACCCACTTTTTTTTTTTTTTTTTTTTTTGGTTTTTCGAGACAGGGTTTCTCTGTGGCTTTGGAGGCTGTCTGGAACTCGCTTGGTAGTCCAGGCTGGTCTCGAACTTACAGAGATCCACCTGCCTCTGCCTCCCGAGTGCTGGGATTAAAGGCGTGTGCCACCAGTGCCCGGCCCCAGAACCCACTTTAATTCATCACCTGTTACTACAGTTCTGGAGATCTGGTGCCCCCTCCTGGACTCTGAGGACCCTGCACACATACACAGGCACATACTTACACGTAAATAAATAGTAAGAAAAATCTTTAAAAATAAAGGATAAGAGCAGGGCATAGTAATATGCACACCTCTAATCCCAGCAATGGGAGGCAGAGGCAGGTGGATCTCTGAGTCTGAGGCAAGCCTGGCCTACAGAGCAAGTTCCAGGACAGCCAGGGCTGTTACACAGAGAAACCCTGTCTTGAAAAACCAAACAAAAACAAAAACAAACCAATAATAAAATCCCTAACAAGAAGAGGAACTCTCTCTTGAGCAGCCCTGCCCAGTCTAGAGTATGATATCCTTGCCTTTTCCTAAACCTTGCTAAGGTCTGCAGGATGAGCATCACATGTTTGAACACATGGCCCCCAGCAGGTGGCGCTGTCCTGGGAGACTGGAACGTTGGAGATCAAGAGTCCTGCTAGCAGACATAAGCTCCGAGGGGTCCTGCTTACAGCCACAAACTGAGTCGCTTAAGCTGGCAAAGCCTTCCCAAACCTTGAGAGACCGAAATTTACCGGCAACCATGAGCCCAAATCAACTGTTCCTCCCTCTGCAATTTCCAGCGGCTGCTGTCACAGGAGTGAGAAAAGCGTCACAATCCTCGATCTTAGTGCCTGTGCCTCAGTTTGTATTAAAAGTTTTTCTAATCCCAGCGCCCAGGGAGGCCAAAGCGGGTGAATCTCTGAGTGTTTGAAGCCAACCTTGTCTACAAAGTGAGTTCCAGGACAGCCAGGGCTATGTCAAAAAAAAAAAAAAAGAAAAGAAAAGAAAGAAAAGAAAAGAAAAAGCTTTTTAGAAAAACATGAGGGCTGGCTGTAGCTGAGCTGAACATTTCCTTGGCTGGCTGGCATGAGGTCCCGGGTTCTATCCCCAGCATTACATTTAACTGAGCGCGGTGGCGCATGTCTAGAATCCCAGCACTTGGGAACTGAAGACAGGGGCATCAGTTACACAGTGGGATCCAAGTCAGCCAGGACAACATAAGATTTTATCACTTAAAAAAAAAAGGAGGAGGAGGGGAGGCGGGGAAGAGTCGGAGGTTGGGCAGGGGAGGCGTAAGAGGAATCAGGGACTCTCCAGGGAAACACCTGAATGAAATTATTCGAGCCCCAGCTCCTGACAAACTGGCAGGAAACTGGATGTTTCCAGTGCCGAAACGTCATTCAGATTACCAGACGGTCACCACGGAGCTTTGACAGAGGAAGACTAGCCTTCACCTCAGCCTTTTGACGTCTTGGCCAGGCTGGGAGAGAAGTCCAGTGGGAGCCTAATCAGACCTGGCTTGGGGCTAACATGCAGCCCGCAGGCCTGGTGGAACACCAAGGGGTCAGCGTAGGAAAAAGACGGACAGCTGGGAGGTTGGCACTCCTCAGTCACTCAAGTCCCCGCTCGTGAGAATAATTAAGAGCTAGAACCTGTCTGCCTGACAGTTGTGGTGCACACCTTTGATCCCAGCACTCAGGAGGCAGAAGCAGGCGGATCTGTGTGAGTTCGAGGCCAGCCTGGTCCAGCCTGGTCTACCGAGTGAGTGCCAGGACAATCAGGGCTGTTACACAGAGAAACCCTGTCTCGAAAAACAAGCAAAAGAAACAGAGCTTGTCTAAGAGGCCTATCTGGCTGCTGATCCAAACAATGAAGACATCCAAACAGCATTACCCTGACACCCTGGCGTGAGTCCTTGCCCAGCCTCCCCAACCCGGCAGAAAAACAGAAGGAGCCACTCCGTGCACAGCCTAGTGAGGACTGACTGACCCCACAAGACCAACAGCAATGTTTCCTTGCAATGAGCCAGCCCCCAGAGGCACCCCTTGTAAGGGCCACATCATCCGGTACCTCCGAGGACCAGGCTCTGAGGACCACTCGGTGGTGGTAGCACACTGTTCACCGGGGCACACGCTGCAAACATATCCAAAGCACAGCACGGATTTCATTCTAGGTTAAAGGTGACATGGGAGGCGCAATGACCACAGGCCAGGCACCACCCTCAGCTGGGTCCTTGCGGGATGAGCAGTCAGTACCAGGGGGAGGAAGACCTGAGTACGGACGGCGTCGACGAGGCACACGTGAGTTTTGATGAAGCATGACCGCTAAGTAAGAAAATGTCACTTTTCAATTTTTATAATCTTGGGCGGTATTTTTTAATTTTAAGGAATTAAATTTTTTTTTTTTTTTGCTCTTTGAGACGGGAATCCCCGGATCCGCTTGAGCTCACAAGGTAAAGAGAATGACCCTGAGCACCTGGTCCCTCTGCCTCTACCTCCTGTGTGCTAGGATCCCAGGCATGCACCACCACCACACACAGCTTAAAATGCCATTTAAAAAAATGCCTAAAAATATTTAGACAGCGTTTCTCTGTGCAGCCCTGGTTGTCCTGGAACTCACTCTGTAGACCAGGCTGGCCTCGAACTCAGAGATCCGCCTGCCTCTGCCTCCCGAGTGCTGGGATTAAAGGCGTGTGCCACCAACACCCGGCATGTCTTCTCTTTTCAAGGAGGGAATATATAGTATTTTCTTAGTTTACATTTTATTTGTGTTGCCATAGAACGACTAGCTTACGGAGGTCAAAGGATAACTGGCTGAAAGGAGTCAGTTCCCTCCCTGGACCATGCGGGTCCCAGGAATTGAACCCATGCTGTAAGCCTGGAAAGCAAACACCTTTATCCACAGAGCTGTCCTGTCAGCCCTCCCCCACCCACCTACCCCAGCCGCACTTGTTTTTAACAATAGCAACGTCTCCTTAGCACATAATAGATTGCTTCACTCTGGGGCCGAATTGAGCAGGGGATGACAAGGGATGGCGACAGGGAGTGACAGGGGGTGACAGGGAGTGACAGGGAGTGGCACATGGCCGGCCTGCTGTGGCTGAGTGACACACATTCAGCCTCTTAAGCCTCCAAAGGCCAGAAGCACAAAGTCAGCGTCCCTGGACAGCTGGCCTGAGTGGATGTGGTTTCACACTGTTCCCAGCACAGTAGCCCTGAGGAATCACCATGACCAACTCAATCTGAAACACAAGAGCCCGTGAACAGGACCCACCACGTCCTTCGAGAACAAGAATTTCGAATCTGCTGCACAGCTGACATCGGGTCAGACCTTTCTGTCACCATGGCCTGTCGACCTTCCTGGAGACATTCAGCAGCCTCCTTGGCCCAACCTACCTCAGGAAGAGCATCCCCTTCCCCTGTGCGCTGTGCCGGCCCTGTGTCCAGGGTGAAGAACCACAGCTGCTCGGCGTAGCTCATGTGAAGAGGGACGCTGGGGTGAAGGGCTGGAGAGATGGCTTACCAGCTAAGAGCACTGGCTGCTCCTCTGGAGGGTCCTAGTTCAATTCCCAGCACCCACACAGCGGCCCACGATCCTCTGTGACTCGAACAGCAGGGATCTGGTGCCCTCTTGTGGTGACTGAGCACACCTACACTCAATGTGCGCATATCCACACATGATTAAAAGTAAAATCGATCTATACAGGAGGGCACGGGATCTGTTTGGGGTTGGATTCCTGGGAGCATGGCACAGGAGAGAGAAGAGGCCCCAGGCTGGAGCCACGGACCTCTCAGAGTGGGCCAAGTTGTTCCATGAGAGATTTGGGGACCAGGTACAGTTAGACGGGTGGGGGTCTGTCTGTGGGGATTGCAAGCCCTGAGGCTCCTCTGTGGGAATGGTGTAAACCTTGGTCTCTGACATCCCTGGAGGGGTTTCCTTGCTGGGCTTCCAGGTCTATGAAGCTCTATGTGGCTGGGCCAAGGCTGCCTTCCCTTCAGGCCACCATGCCTGTGCCATGCCCTAGGCCCAGGAGTTTGCCAACCCGAGTGACCGCAGAGGCTGGGCCCTCAGATATGGTCTTCTGACCGCCCCCCCCCACAGCTAATGCTGGTGTCAGCAATGACTCATGGGTTCCAGCTGCAGCTGTTAGCCACAAAAAGTGCCACTATGTGTGTACCGGGCTGGATGGCTGGATGCTGAGGGCTCACTGTGTGAGAGAGCACACCGCCCTGAGATTGCATGCTGGGGGATCTAAAGAGAGTCCCATGCATCTTCAAGGTCACCCGGTGGTCACAGGCAGAGCTGAGGACCGGAGGCTCCTGACCCCGCTGAGGCTTTGTGACTTGGTGCGCGGATAACTTGGTGCTCAGCTGGCCATGATCTGCAGGCAAAGGGCTCAGTCTGACCAGAGGGCTATGGGGGAGGAAAAGAACACCCATCTGCCTGGCTGGATGTACCCCAAGGAGGCAGGAAGGGGCTGAAATTAGGACCAATGTGCGGCCGCCCATTAGCATGTAATTTCCCTCTCATTTGCATATTTGCACCAGAGCCAGTAAGCGTACAATTATAAAATCAAATGCGTGAATGAATTCCTGTGCCCTTCCCAGAATAGACACGCTGCTGCATCCTTAGGACTTGAGCTTGTTCTCTCTCTCTCTCTCTCTCTCTCTCTCTCTCTCTCTCTCTCTCTCTCTCTCTCTCTCTCTCTCTCTTTCGCTAGCTCCAGAACTCCCAACTAAATGTGTTCTTGCTTTAAATAAAACTCCCCCGGATGGGAAGATGGCCCCTTGGGTAAAGCGCACCTGAGTTGGGTCCCAGAACCCACGTAAAAGGAAATGCACACCTGTAATCCCAGAGACAGGACAACAGGAGGATGGGGGGGAGGGGATCATGGCAGCCAGCCTAGTTGAACGAGCACGCTCCAGGTCCCAGGGAGAGACCCTGACTCAAAGAGCAAGGTGGGCGGTTCCTGAGGAGAGACACCTGAGGCTGGTCTCTGGCACTTTCTCTCTCTCTCTCTCTCTCTCTCTCTCTCTCTCTCTCTCTCTCACACACACACACACACACACACACACATACACACACACACACACACACACGAAAGAAATTCCTAGCATGCAATCCTTCCACCATTAAACCAAGAGTCAAGAAGTAATCATGAGTGAAATCTGCCATCGTGGAAGGATTCTCACTGCAGGGTTTTCAATGGTTTTCCTCCAGGAGGCAGGAAAAAAACCACACACAACGTAACACACCTGGTGGCGATGAATGAATAGACAGCAGTTGGCTTGGTCCACGAGTCTGGCCAGGGGCCTGGGTTTCCGGTTTAAGCATCTGCTATTGACATTGGTAACAGATGCTGGACAAAGCACAGCAGCCAGTCAGAACCGGCGTTGATGCCACACGATCAGAGGCAGGACCTTCGGAGGTCCCACCAGTGACAGAGTCTACGCATTCATGGAAAAAAAATGCTAACAAGGCTTCTAGAAGCTGGGGTGTCTGTTTGTTTTTTGTTGTTGTTTGTTTGTTTGTTTGTTTTTTTGAGACGCAGTAGGTAATGTTAATTGTCAACCTTACAGAATCCAGACTCACGGGGCGGGGCGATGTCTCCGCACATGCCTGTGGGGGATTATCTCACCTGCTGCAGGGAGCCTCTTTACCATTGTGGCAGGGCCTCTCCCTGGCTAGGCTCCTGGGCTGCACAATTGGAGACAAGATGGTGAGGATGAGCAGTGAGCGGCCGTGCACTCGCCTGTGGCCAGTTGATTGTGACTGGGGTGTGGCCAGCAGCTTGACTTCCCGCCGTGACCCACAACTTCCCGCCATGATGGACCACTGTACATTGAACTGGGGTTGAAATAAACCCTCCGCCCTTCAGTTGCTTTTACTCAGGGCATTTTATCACGGCAACGGGAAAAAGCAATGAAAACCCACCAGCTTGCTCTGTAGCCCAGGC